TGCGATTCTTTTATATGTGCTTGTGCTATGTAAGCTGTAAATAGCTACATATTATTGAAGCCATGCAATGGACTTGCAAACTGAGTTCCTGACAGTAATTGAGATCTGCACTTGCTAATATACACTAACTTGTGTTATTTTTTAATTGAATTTTTTGTAGAATAATTAATCATTCTATAAAAACAACATATGTGATATTCAAAACTTTTATCAAATTAAAAACACAGAGAGAGTGCCATATTTCTTAGACTTTCTTAAAACAATGATGTATATGGAATTCTATTCTATATTCTATGAACATATAATATATAGTTCACAGTTCTTAGATATTATGTTTCCTAATTGTATATTAAAGACGTCTTTTTGAATGAATAAGATTATGTATCATTTTAGTTGCAAGTAGGTCTACTCTGGCAAGTAATCTTTACCGATGACTTAACACTGTTATATCTTCTATCAAAGTCAACTTCTTTCAACTATATCAAAGTTCGATAGTTTGTAAGGAAAACAAATTAAGAACGTCTCTGCAAGACCTAAGGAATTATACGGGTTACATCAACAAGAGCATCGGAATTGTGATACGAAAAGCATGCAACTATAGAAAAACGTGTTTTTACTACCTTAATCTGCTTTTATAGTACGCTATACAAAAAAATCTCAGATTTTTAACTTAAAATGTAATATAAACATTTTTATTATATTCTGATAAAAAAAATTTTAAAAGCACGTTGCTTAATTAATAATTTATTCTTACTTTAATTTTAATTAATCTGCTTTGGAGCAAATTGATTTCCTGAAGAGGTTAACGACCGTTTGCCAAAGCAATTACCGCGGTGCACATAAACAAATAATTTTACTCGCATTAAAATTTTTTGATCGTTACGGAAGGTCAGCAACTGCTGTCACAAATTATAATAATCTGTCATCACCCCTTACCTCGGTAGTAGACTTGTTAAATATATATATATATATATATTAATGTTTATGATTTTGTGAATTGATTTCACAATTCGATTATAAAAATTTGAGCAGTTATTATGCTTAATCTTAAATATTATTTAAAACATTCTATATGAGTTAAGTTCCTAATGAACACAATACATATTCAATTCTTATGTGGGGTTAAGAGTGGTTGGGACAATCGAAATCGTTTTCATCGTTAACAATAAGGTCAGTCTAGCAGGCTTTTCGAAGCGTGAAGAGGCACCAGGGACTACAAAAATAAACTATTCATAATTAATTGCAAATTAAAAAACGTTAATGGTAGTTCGAAGTTCATCATAGTTGTGTCGAAAAAATTATAATACTTAACACTATGTTACATGATAAAATTATATTTATTTATATTTACCATAACTGCTCCTCATCGTGCACAATATTACAGAAATCTGTTTCAATGGATTTTATTTTATGGTTCATGGCAATCCCATCATCCTGCAAATTTAATCCTCGTATCATATCAATAATGTGATCATAGTTCATATATTGTGATGCTGCACTATTTTGTGTGCTTGGTTGTATGTAATTGCAGGCATTATTGCGAAGGTTACCAGTGACATTGACACCTACTAAACCACCGCTTCCATTATTGTCGTTGCTGTTCATAACATTTGCCATATTGGTATTGGTTTTGTATCAGTTGTTTTTATTGCCGCTTATTTTGCTTCAGTTCCAATATTATTTCTTTGTTTTTTTTTCACGTATAAAATATGATTAAAGACGCAAATACCTTAAGGAAGGTAAATCTCAACTTGAGTTTCTTTTACTTATACTTTTGTGTTGGCACCATGTATTTTCTTCTTAAGCTAGTAATTAAATGCTTTAATTTATTTTTCAATTTAAAAATATTTTTAATTATTTACAAAAAAGTAATGAGTGCTAAAAATTAATTTAATTAGACAAGTAAAATGCAAACTTTCATAGGTTAAAAATGTTGTTGGTTCTTTCTTATAGGAAGAATTCCATTCATAAAGGAATGTCAAAAAAATGCGCGTAAAGTTCGAGTCTTGACATCGATAAGGCAGTATGTACGAAATTCAAACGAATGGTATAATTTAAAGATTATATCTTCCTTTTTCGATACTGTTTATATTTTTATTGTTATTATTGTGTTGGTTTTTATATTAATATTAAATATTACTATTAAATAGAAAAATTTAGAATAAATGTTATTTATAATACATTTTTTTTCGAAAAAGTATACATTCTAAATTTTGTTTAGATGTAAAATTAATATAGTTAATAGAATTAAAATCTTGTTGTTTTAGTTTATAGTAAATTTGTGAAACGTAAACGCTATATAAACCATTTAATTAATATATAGAATTCAAAACCAGTTTCAAAGCCATGTATAAAATAATAAGTGTTTTCAGTGTACATCTTGTATTATTTGTTAATGCAATTAAATTCAACGCATAATCAATGGTTTTTGAAGGTATAAGTATATGAAGACATTAAGTATAATATGATATTTTATTATCTGCATTACTTGGACCTATTAGGGTATATGGAATTGCTTTAACAGCTGAAGTAGCATAGTAGCTACGCGAGCGGTGTGTGTATAATAATTCTAACAGCAATTTTACAGCTACCCAACACTCTTTACCAGTCGGAAACTTCTTCCTTGTATACTTATTATCCATGGTTTCTAGCTTCATTTAATTAAGTTTACTATTGATTTTATTTATTTGCACCTTTTTATAATTTATATCTAAAAGATGGATCTATTGATTTAAATCTTTGGAGCAGCTTTGTTTAATACGATCTCAGTGTTCAACACTCTCTTACTACACATAGAATAGCTCTCTTTTCTCCTCTGAGTTTTGTTATATATTCAATTTTTAATCATATTATATTTTATAATGTTATATGATAATTTTTCTTGTTTTGATAAGTAATTAAGGTACTTATATCATAATGCATGCTCTTCTGAGTATGATAAATAATGAATTACATACAATTATTTTACACCTACATTTATTTATATAAGTATCTTAAGGTATATTAATGCAATATTCTCAGATTTATCCTTTATACTAACTGTTGTGGATCGGTAACATCGGTTCATAACATGCTATCAAATTATATTCAGCGCCTCTCCAAACAACTTCAACGTAATAATGAGTTGTATCTTTCTTAGCCGAAACCTCTAAATATGTAGTATATATGTACTATGCAAAATCAGATTCAACAATTTTAGCAACTTTGCTTTTTTATAATTAAAACATATGTTGCCATTTACATATCATATTTTAACTTTTAAGCACCAACGTGGGTAACAGTAGCATAAAGAGAAAGGCAGAAGGGTGTATGATGCCATGGGTCTTGCAGTAGCGTCAAATCATTTCTAAGACGATTATGTAATATATATGTATGTTATTATATAAAATTTTTTTAAATTTATTTATCGACCTGTTTATTAAAATGATTTTTTTTATATATTTATTAATCTGACTGTAGGTCTCTTGTTAAATAATTCAACGTTTATTATTTTTTTTTTGTATATTTTTTATGTATTATGTAAAAATGTAGTAAAGAGCTCTAGGTTCGAGTCAGTAAACTATATATTGTAAAGAATTGAGCTATCAATTTATTAAAATTATTAAAAAAAAGTACTATATTTCCTTATTTTACATTGGTTAAATTATGAGATATATGTACTACAGTGTAATATAACGATTATATAAATAAAACTAATAAGAAATTTCACAGTAATTTTGATATAACCAATGAGTTGTACTTAATTAATGATTACTGCTAACATAAACAGTAGATAGACTTGGATTTATATACCGGACACCTATATTATGACACGTACATCCATTACTTGTTTGTTTATTGTTTAGTTGGAAGGCAGATAGTAAATCAAATCTGTAATCTTTTGACCCAGTTAATCTCGGATAAACTGATAATCCTTGAACAAATTTTAATTTATTATTTGCCCGTCTGTAATCTCTGTACATATATTATGACCCAGTTTACCTCAGTTGAAAACAAATAAAACAACAGATCTATTGTTTAAAAGAAGCTCTGTTTTATTAATATGAAATACAGTTGATTTCAAATTCTAGTTTTCTTTTTATTTTTAATTGATACAGCTCGTCTAATCTAAAAAACAATATAAAATATAAATTTCTTAACACGCAGTTTCTTTCTAGTGAAGAAGTGGCAGGTGTCCAACTGTACATATACGAGTCTACACTTTTATAAAAGACAAGTCAAGACATAGACGAGACATTCTTAGTTTATTTTAAAAATGTTTATTAAATACATAGAATTTTTATAATAAAATATAGTAATCCTAAGAGCAATTATATGATTAAATAATGTGTGTGTAAATGTAAATATATGTCACTTTTAACAGCAAAAAAAAAGTAAGAATAAACAAAAATTACCAAGCTTAATCACAATAAAAAGAGAAGACAATTGATAACGGAATCTGATAAAGTACATTAAATGTTGATAGAGTTTATCTCTCAGATATCTTCTATAGTGAAAATCCTAGGACGTATAATGAAGCTTTATGATATAATATTTTATCAGAGATTAAGTCTTAACTTCTTATTACTAAGGTATAATACATGTGTATGTATATGCATTATTAAGCATTTAAGAATGTGATAATCTGTATTATTTTTACGGCTGCACTGATTTAACTTAAAGAAATTTAAAATAATTTCTAGTGGAATAATTTATTTCGAACTTAATTAAAAAGTGAATAATAATAAT